ATGTGAGAAGGGGATTGATCTCAAAACCGTCGAGTGTTGACCAAGCCTGGAAGAGACGTCCTTGAGGAGTCTAAAAAGATGGGAAAAGGGGGTGAAGAAGATAAAAACAGGCTTGGTCGAGGTCAACGGTTACCCTTACACGTGGGCAGCGGCTCATAAACATTGCACAAGACACAGACTGGAGCTGTGTATGGCGCAGTCAACGCGCGCAAGTGCGTGCCGCCGGGGATGAATGAAACATTAAGTGTTGAAAACCCGCGAGGTGTGTCCAAGGAGCGGGTGTGCTCGATGAAGCGCATGGAAGCAAGTCGGGCTATCCATGAAGAAAGGGCAGAGTCTCAAGACTCATCAAGGTGAAGCAGAGTGTTGTTTGCCAGACGGCGAGTGTCGTTCTGCAGTCGATATCGTGGCGTTGTTAACGTCGTTTCATCGTAAAGAAATAGGCCGCGCTAATGGCCAAGGGTAAAAAGCAAAAGAGTCTGAAAGACTGAGTGATGAGATGATCGCATCGAAGAGTTCGGAAGTCAACAGTGGAAATCCACTGTCAGGGTCACCCCCTAGTTGCGTACTAGGACGCGACTATAGGAGGGCGACGACAACCATACCAGCAACACCAGCCAGGGCCATCTTGCCGACTTGGGCAACGGAAGCAGCGTTCTCGGGGACCTGAGAGGGCTGGCTAGAACCACCAGTGGTTCCGGCAGAGGCGGTGCTGGCGATGGTGCTCTTGGGGGTAGCCTCGTGAGAGGTGGCGTTGACAACAGAGACGAAGCTGGTGCTCTCAATGACGGGAGTAGAGGTGGTCTCGGCGACAGTCTCAACCTCAGAAGTGGTCTCAGCCTGGGTAGTCTCGGGTTGAGCCTCGGTGCTGTAGCCAGTCGCGGTGACGGTGTGAATCTGCGAGAGGAAATAGGTCTTGGTGAGGACCGCAGTGGAAGTTTGAGTGGTGGTATCCTCGGCGAGGGCGAGGGCTGGCAGAACAGCCAGGATAAGCTTAGAGAAATGCATTTTGTTGTTGAGTGTGTTGATGGACCGTGTAAGTGAGTGCTTTCAAAGCGTGTAGGCAGCGGTGTATCGCGCGCAAAAGTTGTGTACGAAGGTAGGCGGTCGTGTAAGTGAGCGAGTGGAATACTCTGTAAACCAAACAGCGAAAAGCCAGGCTATGTAAGCAAGTTTATAAAGGAAGCGATAGACTCTGCCAACGAAGTCTGTGGGGAAGAGATGTTTCGAAAGGTGAAGGCTAGAAGGATCCTAGAAGAGAGTGTCAAGGATGCGTCGGGGGGGGAAGGGGTCCATGAAGTACTCCGGGGCACTGGCACTGTCTATGCGACGAACAGCAAACAATGGCGCCGCGGGATCTTACAGGCGAGCCCTCCATTAGAGAGAGACCCGACCAGGGTACGGCTCAAGTGCAGCAAAGTGCCGCCAGGCCAGATGTTGACCATGATGGTGGGATGGGAGGGGCGGACTAGGCCGGAGCCCATTAAACTGGGTATAGGTGACACGGAATTAAGCCCTCGTTGGGCCGTGTCTCAGGTACTAGTGACCTAGTCAACGGGGCTTCATGGCCTGGGCCTCCCCCTCGAGGGAAATTAATTACAGCGCGTGTCGACAGCTTCAGGCACGCGAGCCGGGCGACCAGGCCCTGGGACGTGGCCCTGTCGTAGGCCCCATGTCCGTTTCTTTTGGCGTCATTGTATGTCCCCAGAAGCGCCAGCCCGTGGCCTTTGACTGTTCGGCCTTTGTCTCTTCTCTTGTTTTTGTGAGACAAACTTGAGATGGTCTTGGAGCAAGCAAGGTTTCACCGGTAGTGGTCATCCTGGTCTTTGGTGACGGACTGTTGGGATGGCGATGCAACCATGGGAAAAACTCTGCACTTTTTTCAACAGAACCGACAAGTCTTGCCGGGTGGCGATGAACGCAGGCTACGAGATGAGGGAATTACCTGACCGGCGGCGAGGCTCTCTCAGAGTCAGAGTGTGCCCAACGTGAAAGGCCTCGGCGGCCCCAGGACGTTGAGCCACTTTCTGGTCTTGGCCGCCAAATGACCTTCTCGAGCTTTTGCCCTGTCCAATCTGATGTTGGTAATGACCCTCTTCTCTCTTGTTCACAAAAAAGGCACAAGAGCCGTCGAGTAAAATTTGCACAATCTCCCTCCCCCCTCGGGATTGGTCAGGAACCCAGGCACACCCGCCCCGGTTCCTGCGTCGGCCTGTGAAATTGTGCCTGGCGCTTTGCCTCATTCAGGCACTCGTGGCCGGTGCGACAGTGGCTGTTTATTCCGCTGGGCAAGCTTGCTTGACTCTTGAGTCGCCAAGAGAACCCATCACTCGTCGATCATCACTACGAAAAGAGGTCATTCGCTCCGGACATGTGCGCTACTGTAATATGAAAAGTTTGATGAGGACATCTCGTTTGTAATTGCGACCCTCTTTGACTTGCTTTGCTCTTTGCAATGCGTGATGGCGACATGCTGACTGCGGAACAAAGAGCAAACAATGGCAGACTCCAGCTTTTGCACTTTGAAACTGCCTTGTGGTATTTTTAGGGCTTATTGCTTTGCCATAAGGCTCAAAGCCAGTTTTCTCTCCCCGTCGAGCTGAAACTCTGCCACCGAGGACAATCCTGGTCAGGTTGTTGGAAACTCAACGGTCTTTGTTGACCCGTGCCATGCCGGTCCAAGGAACGAACTGATGGAACACGGGGGAATTCTGACAACCTTGGAGAGAGGGGAGAGTAAGCACTGATCGGAGGCCATGATCGGCTACCTACCCGCCCCGGATTTGCTACGCGTCGGGTTGACTCGTGCCCGCGTTCTAGTACTGTACGCACTCTACAGTGCATCCCCTCGTGTTGAGTCATGCTGTGCAACTTGATTTGTGATGAGCTCTTTTAATCTCTCACACACCGCCCGTCCTCTTGAGCATGACTTTTGTGTGTCAGTCCAATCACTTCAGTGGGAAAAGAAAGGTCCTTGACGTGGCCATGTCGTGTGAAGCCAGCGCATGAGACCAGCGGGCCTCTTCTCTTAGGTTTTCCCACCTTATTTTAAGCTGCTCGCTTCTCCATTGGTGAGACGCGCTTTAAAAGAATGGGGAACCGCGGCAGCTTTCCGTGGTCCAATTGCAAGGTTCTTGATCCCCTGGACCTGTCTGTCTCTTGCTCAGCCCTGCTCCAGTGGGGACACATGCAGTTCGACAATCTGTGACAACAGAGGTTGACGTCAAAGTCATTGCACCGTAGCAACCGGGAGAACCAACGGTCAAATTCAACCTTGCGCTCGCTTTGCGGCAGAGTAGAAGGGCGGGTATTGGGACCCGAAAGTTTGCTAAGCGGAAACCTATCCGAGATGCCAGCTCATGCATCGCGCAGATCAATGCTTTCCGCTTGTTCTGTGAGTTGTCAACAAACCTCACCAAGACATGAGCGTTCGTTGCCAGGCGCGATGCGCAAGAATGCGGGACTCTGCCGTCGGTTAAGCAGGTCGCGCGGACGTGACGTAGTAGTTGTCGCAATAATGCAATACTTGTCTTCCATTGCATTTGTTTGTTGTTGCAGGCAGCAGGAAGAGTCCACTTTACCACATTCTAATGAGCTGCCTGGCTGTCTGCCTCCAAGAACAAGCTGAGGGAGCGCATGTGATGCAGGCTGTGTCGCTGAGTAGCTCAGGCGCTGTGGCGTTGAGCAGCCTCTTGTGGCGGGAAGAGAAGTCACGGGTACAGCTTGGACATGTCAGAGGCCACCAGTTCCAGTCTGCGAAATAGGAATAAAAGCAAAGATCGCAAACGCGAGAAAGACTTCTTAGAGGTGTCGCGAGCTCAACGAGAAACACGTGAAGCCAACCGTTGGCCCGTTGCGACGCCTGAACAAGGTTTTGTGGGTCCATCCGCCTTTGTCATCATCGTATCAACTCCAAAGCTTCAAACTCTCACAGTCCATCATCCATCAAGTCAAACATCAAAAGCCATGACTGACTCACCACCACCGCAGCCTCGCGCTCACTCGAAATCCCCTGCCCCGCGCGAAGAACCATCCCGTGACAACAGCGACTTGCCTCCTCGGAGGCCCAGGGACCGATCGCGATCGCCCGCGCGCAGGCCTAGAGGCTCAGGCGGCTTCAGATGGAAGGGTGATCGGAGGGACAACGACAGGCGAGACTTTCGCCGACGGTCGCCACACGGACGTGGGGATCGGGACCGTGATCGCGATCGCGACCGGGGTTATGGCAGAGACCGAGGCCGTGATCGAGAACATGGCAGGGACCGTGACCGGGACCGCGATTATCGCAGAGACAACCGGGACCGAGACCGCGACCGTGGTGACCGTGGCGACCGAAGAGATCGCGAACGCGACAGGGACCAACCAAAGGAGAAGAAAGAAAAGCCCAAGGCGCCTGTAGCCCAGGCAGGAGAAGAGATGATCATCGTCAACGTCAACGACCGACTTGGCACAAAGGCAGCGGTGCCCTGCCTAGAATCCGACACGGTCGGACAGCTCAAGATGATGGTAGCGGCACGAATCGGTCGAGACCCCGGCCAGATCATTCTCAAGCGACAGAGCGAGAGACCTTTCAAGGACCACATTACACTTGGAGATTACGGCATTTCGAACGGTGTGCAGCTCGACCTGGAAATTGACACACGGGATTAATATCGTCGAGAAAGGTTATTACAGGAGTTCAGGGACAACGGATGGATCAAACACACGGCCATGGCTACCGAAGCACTTGGTTAAGAAATTGCTTGCTTGAAAGGAAATTGATTTTGACATCATAGCGCCTGCTAAACCCAAGAATGAACATGTTTCAACGCCAAACAGAGGCACTATCATGTTCCCCAAAGGCCGTTCATTTCGTAAGCATCTCGTGCGTGAGCATGATAACAAGACAATATACGCAAAGAGATATATGCCCATCATCCAAATATATAAATGACAAAAGAAAGGAACAGAGCCAAGTCTTGTATCCAAATAATCCGCCCCTCATCCAACGCCGTGAACGTTCAAAAAAACCTTTGATCGGTAAACGATGTTTCCTCATACTTATCGAAGTCAAACCACTTCGTAAGATCTGGACCAAGGCTCTCATCTATTTCCATGCTGTCTGGTTCAGCTGATTGATACATTGCTTTCAGACTGTCGTCCGGCTCCGTATTGGCTTGTCCTGACTCATACGCTGAGTCTCGCTCAATCTTGATCTGTTGACCGAATGGTATCAAGCCATTAAGCGACGAGTTCTGAGGACGCAGAGTCTGTTGACGAACGGGGGCATCTTGTCGGCCAACAGATTCCTGAAGCGCAGGATTGGACCCGATGTACTGGAAGGGGTCGTCGTCGTCGTCGTCCGGATCAAGCAACAAATATCTGGGCTCGTCCATATCAGGTGAAGGTATGGGCAAAGGCTCTCCCAGAGTAGACGGAACCTGCGAGGCAGTGGCTTGTGAAGGAGTGCGTTGGAAGAATGATTCGAGCCGTAGCGCCAGATCAAAATTGTCAATTGGAGTTGTCGTCTGGATCTGAGGCATACCAGATTCTTGAAGGTTGCCAGTGTACATAAGATTGCCAAACGGCTGCTGGTTGGTCAGGTCTTGATAGCTCAACTGTGCCAATAGGTTTGGCCCTCGTTGATTATCAATGGATTGTAGGAGTTGCTGATGAGATTGGCTGTCGAATTGCTGAGAGACTTGATATGTCGGTGATTGATGCGCCGATTGTGCAGGCTGATGTAAAGGATTATGTGAATCGCTTAAAGATTGTTGCATATTCGTAGACTGGAAAGACTGACCATGAGACCTTGACTGTCTCATGGGCAGTGAGAGTGCGAGGCTGTTATCCTCTGGAGACATTCCTTGTCTCACCTGGCGATAGATCTCATCGGGAAGAGGAGATTGGGACTGGAAGCTTCGAGTGGCTGCCTGCCTCCATGAAGGGCTGAGGGAGAGCGAAGACTGTGAAGGGGGCCTTTGGGCTGGTGTTGAGAGTCGTGGAGGATTCTGCGCAGGTACCTCTAGGTGTAATGCTCCCGGTCGTCGGGAAGTTGCTGACTTGTTTGACTTGCCCGTCGGTTGTAGGGAGCGAAATTGGTTCCCGTTGGACGATTCTTGCGGAGTTTGTTGACCGATCCGCTGGTTGCGTCCTTGTTTCGGCTGCGGCTCTCTCGCGGCCGATCGGTTTCGACCCTTTGGTGGTCTTCGGCCGTGGCTCGGTGTATCAAAATTGGGAGGCGCGCTTGGAGGGTCATCCTTGGAGCAAAAGGTAGTGTACAGAATATACACCTTCGTCGACTTTGGCTGCTCTGCCATGTACGAGCATAAAGGTCCAGCGAGGTGTGCCTTCATCTCTCTCTTGGAAAAACCGCACCAGCAGCGCAAGCAGAGGGCCGTGCCATGATGTTCTGGGTCATCAAAGTTGACCTCCCCCCACTCATGAAGAGACTTGCACGTGGTACAGTTTCCTGTCGCTTTGGTCCCCGGGTCGTACAGCTGGCAGCTCATCAGATATGCGCGATTACCATATCTCGGGTCTCTAGCCCGGATAAGCCCATGATGATCGACGGCATGTGTGACGATGTGGGAAATCTCAATCTTTCGTCCTTGACAAGCAGTCCTGCCGGAAGTCGAGTATTTGGCGTTGTCGTGCAACCAAAAGAAGCAGGTTTCTTCGGAGCCAACAAAGTTCTTTTCTGAAAATTGACAGTCTGGGCTGCACTCAACTCGGTCATCTTGGAAACTTGATGAGTTGGAGGGCCCGGGATCAGGGTGAGACTGAGGTTCTCTTTGGGTTTGTTGTCGAGACCTCCCAGGAACCGTTTGTGGGATGCGATTTGCTGCTTGTCGAGACGAGTTGGCTGGGCCCGGAACTGCTGGCGAGGCTCTCGGCAAGCGACGCCCTGTTCTGTGTCGCTTCTGCCGTCGCCTGGTGCCCTGTTCGTCATCCGTTAAGCGGCTGTTCTGGCGCTTTGGCTGCTTCCTTGTAATAGAACAAGTATCCGTCTCCGATGGGTTGGTCGAAGCCCAGTGAACCTGGTGTAGCCCAGGGTGGGGGGAGTGTTCCTCCTTGACCCCGCGAGTTGGAGGGGTCGTCTGAAGAGACAAGCTTGCGTGCCCTCTATCACTGCCAAATGTGTCTGGTGGCCTGCCCTCGTCATGATGCCCTGTATCATGGTATTTCGAGTTGCGGTCGGAGAAAGACGGCGTAGACTCGGGAGCTTGGAATGCAGCATTGGAACCCAGCAGGCGATCTTGGAAGGTGTTTCCGTCGTGATTGCGGTGGGCTGCAAAAGCAAAGACAGTAGGGGCCTGGATGGACGAAGGCTTGAGTTTGCTAGCGTCGGAGTGGGATGTCTGAGGCAGAACAGTGTCGACTAGGCCTACAATCTCGCCGTTATGGCGCATACGCTCGTCCAAAGGGAGAGAGTTGATGATGGCACCCGGAGCTGGCCGGGAGCTGTCTTGTCTGTTGAGCCATCGTGAGGCTTTGTCGCGTGACTTTCTCTCATACTCTCGCTGTTCCTCCTCTATGGTCCATTCAGTTGGAGGTGGAGGGATATATGGGCTGGCATCGAGGTCGATGCTGGCGACGCTATGGGTCGTGATGCCAATGTTGGCGTTTTTGGTTGGTTCCAGGTCCATCGTTTCTACCGGTCGGCGCAGGGTAGGCTCCGAGGTCTCTCCGATGACGTTGCAGCCTGCTAGGCCTTGCGAGTTACCCGGTAGCAGGCACAGACGAGGATGGCGGCAGTTTGTAAAACAGACTCAGAGCAAATGAGGTTGGCGGGTGATGGGCCCAAGGATAAAGGGATGAGGAAGATGATTTGGAAAAGGGAAACGAGGCGCAGACTGTGCGAAATGGTCCTGATACACATACGAATGGGCGTCGCAGAGGTTTGGTTGTGCTTGTACAATCAGGCTCCGGGTTCTGCCATCATGATTGGTTATAAATGTGGTTGTAGGCGTTTTTTCAACCCCTGCTTTTCAACCCCCCTGATACTGTGTGTACACAATTGTGGAAGAGGATCCATATCGGGCGTAAGTGCATTTTGCGGTGCAATTCGGATTTCGAGGCGATTGTTGAGCCTCAATTCGTGACATGATGGAGCGGGTTTGGATGTTGAAGGGGTTGAGTTTCAAAAGTTACGAGGATTAATCGCAGATTCGCCTGGTTGGAAAGTGAAGCCCATTTTGGCAATCGCCGACTGGTCATGAGGGCTTATGTCATCAGGGATCACCATCCCGTGAACATCCGCCATCGGAGACTTGCGGGGCTTGGTTGATGAGAGCAGAGCCTCAATTGACAGGGCTGCAGCTTCTGTTGAGCCTCAGTTCGAATATGAGGCGAGAAGGGCAAGAACAGCATTGAACGTGACTGGAAGTCCAACGTGACAAGGTCTGTTCATCCCCACTTCGCTTGGGTAGTCTATCGGGACGATGCTAGCTCTTCTCCGCGGGGAAGATCGTGAAAATGGGGTTCCCCAGACTACGTATTTGCCGAGCGTCTAGGGTCTCGTTTCTTTGTCGGGTATGCAGGTTATCATTTCGACAAACTTTGCTTTTCTTAGCCATAGATATGCTAGGCAACCCTAACCAGGACGTCAGATTTGTCCTTTACCCATGCTCTTCATCACTCGCCAAATTAGCGCCAAGATGTCTGTAAGAAATGCACTCGTAAAAGTATAGGGTATGTCAAATCGTTCATGAGGTCTAAACATCTGGAGTATTGTTTACACACCGACCTTCTTTCCATCAGAGAGTTCAAGTCTGCCTATAGCAAAAAAGAGAGCTTCTGAATATCATCTCACCCGAAGTTTAGTCCCTCGTTTGCTTGCAGTCCAAGACAGACTCAACCACCCACCCTCTACCTGGCATTTGGCGATTCGTACTCAGTCTAACTTGAGTCGGCATGACCTTGGTTGTCTCGCCACAGGCATGGACATTGGCCTTGGTATAGTCAGAAAGAGAGTCCGTCTAATGTAGTGAAAACATGCGGGTCAAGTTCACATCAATTCACCCCAATTTACGTCGATTTATATGGGTTCACGTCGGTTCACGTCAGGACAAGAGGGACAGTAACAGCTCTCTGGGGCCAAACGAAGCCAGAGGAAACCCAGCCAGAGTCCCAACATGCCCGATACTGCTCGCGAACACCGTATCAGGGTTCGTGTCCAGTCGTCCCGGCCCTCGACAGTTTTATCAGTCGAGAATCCAAATTTGAATGTTTCCGACGGAGAAATCTCGTTCGGGATACTCGAGGAGGAGCATGATTCTCAGCGTTCGGTATTCTTTCGCGGCCATGAGGTTCATCGCTGAGGTCGTTTTCAGATCGCAAAGGGGTATTGGATTAGGAATCCATCGTGCGTGTCGTGGTCTACCAGGGCCGATGAACGGGTTTCTGTTGGGTGCCCAAGTATTCGAGGTTGGGCTGTGGTTGCACCAGTTCGGGGCTCATCAACATCAACGATACCGTATCGATCTCCTGATGCCAATGGAGTGAGCGGCCGAGGAACTCGCCTTAGTGTCGCGGTGGGTGTGTTGAGAGCTTTGGGAACGTCCAAAATGTCATGCTAGATCTGGTCGTGGAATCCGCGGCGAGCATTTCCTTTCTCGACAGGATAAGAAAAGTCCAAGCTTTGACAGGGAGTGTCGACATTGAGGTGGTGATCCTGACAGATTACCATCCAACCGCGAATTTGGAGTTCAGATCCTGGATAAACAAGGCATTATTCTTCGAGTGGTTATGGAATCGTCCGACCGGGCATCGAGAGTCATCGAAATATTGTGTGGCCCGGGCCAAGTCTTGGGTTGCGTTTGCAGGTCGACCTTGATATTATCCCAGCCCATGTAATGTCTCAACAACGGAACATCCGAGGGGAGGAAAAGAGGCATCGGAATTCAGTTGCGAGGACTGCTTCTTTTGTTGACGACTGTTCTCAGCTGACACGGCAAGAATAGCGTGTTTGGCGGCGGAGACTGCCGGTCGTCAGGCGCCGCATCGTGAGTCTGACCCAGGTCGGAAAAATTGACCGAGAATTGGGGCATCGTGAGGTCCGGAATATATTTCCGTAGATGGAACTGGGACTTGGGATCCGAAATGACAAGTCTCTTGTACTATATGAAAGCAAGCGGCTGAAGCAATGATAGAGTAGATCTGAAAGCAAAGTCGGTACCATCCAGAACCGTTCACGATTGGTAGCAGAAGCACTTAAAGCAAGAGATGCCTCGTCTGGTTCTTCAAGAGCATTCACAGGTGCAACCTTCAAGTTGCTCGAAAGCGCTCGACTGTGCCGCCATAGTTGGGTCGAGGGTATCAGAGGTGAGTACAAGTCATATCACACAATCATGGCCATCCTTGAAGCCAAGGCTACCGGAATGAGACTGCCGGATAGGACTGGCCGTTATGCTGGCTCTATAGCATGTTGAAACATGTTGATATCTCAGGGTTCAGTCCGAGAGAAGTTCCAGGCCGAACAAGGCGTCGTATCGGCTCCCAGTACTTTCACCGAGGCAATAGACGAGTCAAGTCGATCAAACCGATTCTCCAACAACCGTGGCAGTGCCAACGGACCTTCTCCAAAAGCGAGCCTCGAAAGCAACGGAACCGCTGGACTTCTTGGCAACGATCAAAATGCCGCATGCACCGCCGCAACGGCATGGTATTGTGAACGAGTGGTGAAAGGGTGTGTGATGCGATTCTCGGACCCATCTACACCAAGCCCGTCGTCTTGGGCTGGCTCGGGGAGAATTGCGACATTTGGATATGAACAGACAAGGGTGCGGAGTGGGATTTCCGTGGGTCCCCACGCCCGACCAGAGGCACCGGGATACTCCCGAGGATGACGGCCATGACTCGGGCAAAACTCGACAGTCGCTGCGTTTGTTCGCCCTAAGATGGAAGTTATGCTGCGCTACGGTGCGCCAAGTTTCAACGGAAGAGAGCAACGGCTTGCTGACTTCTGGTCGTGCTTGTTGCGGTTGTTCTTGCTCCCCAGCCGATAAACAGAACCGCATCAAGATTATCGACAGATTGCGATCGTGGTAGTACCACAATGCCGACGCAAGGGACATGCACAGAGAATCCCTGGCGTGCAAGACATGGTCAAGCTTGCTGTCGCGCCCAGCTTCTCCCCAAGTGAACATGGGCAGACAAAGCTCTGGCTTGGTTACTCCGCATGAGGAGAAGCCGGGCGAGTCGCAATGGGTCGACTGGTACCGTTTCCCGCCCAAGTTGTATCTGACTGTCACTCCAGTTGCAATGATGTCATGAGATCATGCTCGAAGAATTGAGGCGAGCCAAAACTTGGCTACGAGGCTCCAGATAAGATCACGAGCCTTCGAGCATATTGTGCTTCGCATCCAGGGCGATCGCTTTCGCCCCTTCATCAAAGCAGAGACGGGCGAAGGCCAAGACGCGGTCCGTTCCCCTCGCTGGTAGCGTCGAAGGATGTCGTCCATAAAGGGAAATAGGCGGCGCGACTTTCGCTTTGGAGATACGGGTCATCCAGGCAATCGGCAAATCATCGATGTTGCACGTTCTTCGTCACAAGGGGGCGGCGTTGACGAGTGTCAGCTCAATTCGGCAAGTTGCGGCGGACCGGGGTGAACGGGCTAGTGGGGCTGCGGAGGGGACGACATTGCCCTTCTTGGCCGTGGAAGAATGCCATGATCGCCGAACCGTCTAGAATGTCGTTGCCGTGTTGTTGTTTCGTTGATAGTTTGCGATTCGTGGTTTGTGGGTTGCGTGCTTAGGTTGAGGCAGGCGAACGGGAAGTTGAGGCGGGCAGTCGCAATTTGGAAGGCGGTTGACCGTTCCTCACGTGCTCTGCTGCAGTACGTACCATCTAAACCTCAATTCCATCGTTCCAGGATGTTTGCCCTCCATTTGAGAAACCATGAATGGATAATTACTACGCGGTACGTATAGCCAGTTTCAATTCTCACCGCTCTCCCTCATGATCAAGCTTCCCCTACGCCCGCAGCACCAACCAAGTCCCGAAGCACCGCCTCAGGCCGAATCAGCTGACTCCCGTTGTTGCCAATTCAAAAGACGCTACCCCAACCAAGAATTTTAGCGTGTGCGGGGGATGGGAACGGGCCCCACTCAGGCTTCGGTGTCACCCTTGCCCACTTGTTCATGCCAACCATCATTCAGCTTCGAAAGATGGAGTAGGAGAATTTCTGTGATGTTCCCTCATCCCTGTTTTGATAAACTTGATGTGATATGCCAAGAAGATACCTGTATAAGACCGGAGAGAGTCCCGAGAGGGTCGCACAGCTCACCGAGTCCCACCCTCGGAGGCTTGGACATCTTCAGCTCCATGCGTGCATGGAATGACCAATTGAGGTGAGCGCAATGTGATAATTGGGCTTTGCAGAGAGGATCCCCTGATCTAACGATGCCTGACCCTCTCAAAAGCATTACCGTCTCCGCACGCTCATGCGTCAAGACTCAAACATGCTCACATTACTTACCGCGTGCCGCCGTCCGGCCGGCCGGTTGCCGCTGATCCTAGAAACCCCATGTTATGTATCGATGTGCTTCACACGTTTGCGATCCTAAAGACCCATGTCGACATGGCCCACTCCTATTCCTTTGGCAGCGTTGCCGAGTCTGAACTAGACGCCCTTGCTTCCCCAAG